ACACACACACACACACACACGCACACACACATGTACATACATATACAGGATACCTACCAGCAGTGATGAAAAAGCCTCCTCCTGTCTTGTACAGAATGTGGCTGGCATAGGGGGCTGCACAGATGATGAAGAAACCAGCCATCAGAACAGTGACCACTCCCAAGAGCATGAGAATAGTCCAGAAACCACGATAAACTGGAGGCCCCAAAAGAAAAAGAAAAGAGAAAAGAGCACAAACATTCTTAGAACTCAAACAGAACACAGCTTTGTCTACTAAAGATTTTGTTCTCTTCTCACTTTTCTTATTAATGAACCCAAAGTCATTCCAGGTCTGTTTCCACTGTGCACATATTTTATATACCATATGGAGAGAATTAGATTTGAACCCCAGATCTTATCTGGTGATCATGGAATATATGATGTAAGTTACAGAGGAATGAAAACCTGCTGTTCAGTGTATATGCAGTGTATGTATGCTTAATAAATTCATTTACTTGATCAAATTTTAAATTATTTAGAAAATGGTATACCGATGCTGTAGCCAGGATGCTTTTGGATCACTGCTCAGATTGATTGGATACAACTGTATCAAAGAGGTAGTAACACACTGAAATTCTTAATGCTGGCATAATATCACCACTAACAATCTGTATGATCCTCTCTCTCTGACAAAGCGAACACTTAGAAATTGATAATTCTCCATATATAATTACATCTTTATAAGAGATGTATTAAGAAAAGATAAAGCTACAAAAGATAGAAATAAAAATATGAACCATATTTCTGAAGAATTAAGTGCTTTAAATAAAACCAATTCTGTCAGTAAAGTTTCAGAAGCCCCCTTTAGTCAAAGACAAGCAATGCTGAATTATTAGATGCAGCTGGTGATAAATGGGATGAGTATTTTGTGATAGATTCTGGCCAAAAGAGTGCTTCTTACAATATTTTTATAGCTGATTAATGACACATCTATTAAAGTCATCAAGTTCAAAAGCTACAAATATGAAATGAATTCCTCTAGCAACTCACAAAAGGAATGCATTAATATAGTCCATTAGCCAAACTATGAGTAGTTAAGATTTTTGACCCTGGATCTGAAAACCAAAGAGAGTACTGACAATTCAGTCAGTAAAAACATTTCCACGTGCCTAAGAAAAAGCATGCAAAACAAGTGGTACCTAAGAAAAAGTGATTTGCAGAAGAACCTGCCATTTCCCAGCTGACAGCACCTACTTACTCTTATTGACACTATGCAACTAAGCAGCTTTAACATTTAGATTTGTAAGCTGAAAGTTTCAAACACTTATAGCTCTCAAGTGGCAGCTGCTCTAGAGTCACTCAGGCTTTGTGTAGACTAGGATTTAAAGGTGTGCTGTTAGGAGGTATCAGCTAATGCACACGATCTAATGTATTCTAAAAGTCTACAGGTTTTAACTTGACCAGTTTACTCGTATTAAAGTATCCTATGGCCTTGTCTATGTGTTGGATATGTCTGCACAACTTCCCTGGCCCTGCTGGCAACTCTCCAATCCTGCCCTCCCACCCTCCCACCCCATGCATGGCAAACCCAGAAATGAGCACTTTACCCCATGCTCACTCTCCAGAGCTCTGTCTCTGGTTTGCTCAAGAGTGACGGCATGCAACACCTTCAGCATTGCTCCATTGCCTCATTTCTAGATTTAGCCCATGCAGAGCAGGAGTGGGTAGGGTGTTCTTTAGAATAAAACTCCTTAAGAACAACAGGTTACAAACATTCTTTATAATGCATTGGAACATGTTATCTAACATCTAATTAACACAGTTTTAAAGCTGCCTCTAGACAAAGTTTCAGGCAGAGGTATCCATCTGTCCCTGGCATTCAGGGAAAGAAATAAACCTTCAAGCATCTGTTCTAATGTAGCTATCAAACTTGTAGTTAGGTTTAAAGCAGAGTAAAGGGTTCTTCCTTCACACACAAATGCTGATAGAAATATCACCTGACACTATGGCCACAGCATTTAAACAGATGTTTAAATACTTTAACTCCTATGGGATATAAGCACAAACATAGAGTTAAACACAATTAAATGAATTACTGAGAGGATAGACAGTAAATCGAGACCTAGAAGATTAAATCTCTCTCATTCTTCAGTCTTGAACCTTTGAGGAAGTGTCATACAGTATGGTGATATTCCTGGGGGTGGTTTGGTAAGGCTCATCCCCGAGTTCATGGAATCCAACTTCCTCATTTAAAAGCTAACCCTGCTAAACTAGTCTATGGTCACCCAACTATTGTGAATGAGTATCTGTAAATACTTGAAAGTTAAGCATATTGTAGCATATCTTGCCAAAACAGACCTACGAAAGCTTTAACAAGTGTTATGGTTAGTCAGGTTAGGTCATATCATGGGTGACCGGTGCCGCCTTAGTCAGGTGGGGCATGTGCCCCCTCTGCAACCAGTCCTGCCAACTGGGGG